GGCAGTGCTACAATTGTTGAATGCTAACTGTTAGCACCGAAATGGCAGCACCGGCTGTATGCTCCCCAGGGAGTTGAGAAAGATATTGGCTGGTTGCAAAGGCCCTATAACCAAGGATAGTAATTTGTGAACCGCTTTGAGACGACCTACGAACTAGGTCGTGATAAAGCGGTATATAAGAACCTCAAATTATTAGTATTATTATTGATATCCTCAGTAAGGTGAACTTGCCATTAAAAATGCTAGAATCGTGAAAATCGCTTTAATATTCCTGCCACAATCTCAATAATTGAGAAATCAAACTAAATAAAAAAAGATTGAAACAAATAAATGTGTTGACAATCAGATATTGCATTAAAGAGGAGATTCTTCATCATTTACATGATTATGAAGATTTTTCAACTTTTTTAATATATCTTTTTTCTTTGGGTATGATAAATTTGTAATGAGGATTTTAAACTGTATGAGATATACAACAGTAGTGTTACCTAGCTCAAATAGTAAGTTTGTGCAAAGATGATGATATATCCTAAGATTTGTTTAACCATTTCATCCCTAGTTAACTTGAGTAGACTCTACCATACATTCATCTGGATGAGTCCATTATGGTCTACAGTGGTGAAAGGGTTAAAACATATAACTTCTTACTTCAACAACTTTTTCACAATGACAAAGAATTTTTTATAAATAATAACAAACTCATTTGAGGTATTCTCTCATACTTGACTTATATAGAAATTTGCTAAAATCCTTTCAGAAAAGAAGTCGCAAAACAATGACAACATCTGAACATACATACAAAATGATAACAGATACATACTCCAGCCAAGACATTGTTACATGGGAATATCTAACATTAACTTATATATAAACTCATATTTTTCATCAGTGTTTGAAAAAGTTTTCATTAAAGCTTAAATATAGTCTACTTTGTATATTACAGAAACTAACATACACCAGACCTTCCACGAAAAGTATTACTGTATAAATTAACAAGGTTACCGCGAGCGGTATATAATACGCCCGCCACACATTAAATGAGCAGTTGTTTGTATGATTGAAATATATGAAGTATTTGTGAGTAATTGATATTAAAAGAGAAATCATTCAACATAACTGGTAGATCAATGAGTGCAATACAACATCATGGAACGCATGCATCGCATTAATGAAACCAAGGGGAATAACTCCAATATTTACAGTCGGATAATGGCGGTTATCGAAATTGTCCGAGCTTTCATGGTAATTAACCTTGTTGTGAAGTTTGAAGTTAATCCGTTAATAATTACTCGAGATATCGAGC